CTGGAATTTCAAAAAAGAGTGGTTATTGCATAGGTAGAGACAGGTACTTGTGGGGCAGATGGATCTCTTTTTTTTCAAATTTAACGCTGCAAGGCGAAATTTTGCAGAAATCAATTTGTTTTCTAAATTAGTTTTGCAGAAAATGTACCAGAAAAAAAATAAGTTAATTTTTAAATTGATGACAGCAACACAAAAGGCTAGCAAAGTAAGTGGTATTAACAAGGAAGAGCTGAAACATTTTGCAACTAATTGGGTTAAATGGCAACAGGCCAGTAACAATAGGATATACTGTAAAAAGGGCATTTTTGAGAGTCAGAGTGTCTCAGAAGTAAAGACAGTTCACCAATTCGTGAAAAGCAGTCTAGAAATTGTCAATTTCAGAATAATGTTCAACATAAATTTGCAAAGAATTTTAATACACCATCTACAGTACATAATATCAAAAGAGTCTTAGAATCTGGAGAAAGCTCTGTGCACAAATGACAAGGCCTAACACAATATTGGATGCCTGTGATCTTTGGACCCTCAGACGGCAATGCATTACAAAAAAGCATGATGGACATCACTGCATGGCCTTTTAATACTTCCAAAAATCACTGTGTGAGCACAGTTTTCCGTACCATCGAAAATGCAAGTAAAGGTTCTGTCACGCAAAGAAGACATATCTGAACATGATCCAGAAATGCCACCGTCTGTTGCAAAGTGGAAAACTGTTCAGTGGTCAGATGAATCGAAATATGACTTTTTTTGGCAACCATGGGCACCACATACAATGTACTAAAAGAGGAGTGAGACCTTCCAGCTTGTTATCAGCACTCTGTTCAAAAGCCTGCATCTCTGATGGTATGTGGGTGTATTAATGTGTATTTAATTGGCAGCTTGCCTATCTGGAAAGGTGCGATCTACTGCTGAAAGATATATCCACGTTTTAGAGCGGTATATGCTCCCATCTAGATGACATCTTTTTCAGCAAAGCCTTGCATATTTCAGGACAATGATATACCACATACTGCATCTATGATAACAACATGGCTTTGTAGTAGAAGAATCCAAGTGCTTAAATGTCTTGCCTGCAGTCCAGATCTTTCACCAATTTAAATTTTTTTGGCACATCTTGAAACAAAAAATATGACAAAGATGACCCAGAACTGCTCAGCAGTTAGAATCTTATATAAGGCAAGAACAGGACAATATTCTCTCCCAAAACTCCAGCAACTTGTCTCCTCAGTTCCCAGATGGTTTCAGAGTGTTGTTAAAAGAAGAGGTGATGCTACACTGTGGCAAACATGGAACTGTCCAAACTGTTTTGAGATATGTTGCTGCAATCAATTCCAAAATTATCCTTTTTCCTTAAAAATGGTAAATTTGCTCAGTTTATACAGTTATGTTCAAAATAATAGCAGTCAGACATCACTAACCTGATCAATCACTGTTTTTGGTAGAAATATTTCTACATGGCAAATAATTTACTAGCAGGTGTAGTAGAGTAATAGAAATCCAACAGACCCAACAGTCATGACATGCATGCTCCTGATTCTGTGTAATTGAATCACTAATTGAAAGGGGCATGTTCAAAATAATAGCAGTGTGGAGTTCTATTAGTGAGGTCATTCATTCTTTGAAAAACAGGTGGCAATTATTGCCTTATTTAAGGAAGGAAGGCAGCAAATGTTGTACATGCTGGTTACAGTGCATTTCTCTCTGAAATTCTGAGGAAAATGGGTCGTTCCAGACATTGTTCAGAAGAACAGCTTACCTTGATTAAAAAGTTGATCGGAGAGGGGAAAACATATAAAGAAGTGCAGAACATGATAGGCTGCTCAGCTAAGATGATCGCAAATGCTTTAAAATGGCAACCAAAACCTGAAAGATGTGGAAAAAAGCGAAAACTACTATTCGAATGGATAGAAGAACAGCCAAAATAGCAAGGATGAGCCAACAATCAGCTCCAGGAAGATCAAAGAAGGTCTAAAGTTACCTGTGAGTACTGTTACAATTAGAAGACGCCTATGTAAAGCCAAGCTATCTGCAAGAAGCCCCCGCAAAGTCCCACTGTTGAAAAAAAGACATGTGCTGAAGAGGTTACAATTTGCCAAAGAGCACATTGACTGGCCTAAAGAGAAATGGCGCAACATTTTGTGGACTGATGAAAGGAAGATTGTTCTTTTTGGGTCTAGTGGCTGGAGACAGTTTGTCAGACGACCCCCAAACACTGAATTCAAGCCACGGTACACTGTGAAGACAGTGAAGCGTGGTTGTGCAAGCATCATGATATGGGGATGTTTCTCATACTACGATGTTGGGCCTATTTATCGCTTTCCAGGGATCATCAATCAGTTTGAATACATCAGAATACTTGAAGAGGTCATGCTGCCTTATGCTGAAGAGGAAATGCCCTTGAAATGGGTGTTCCAACAAGACAACGACCCCAAACACACCAGTAAACGTGCAACATCTTGGTTCCAGACCAACAAGATTGATGTTATGGAGTGGCCAGCCCAATCCCCGGATCTTAATCCAATAGAAAACTTGTGGGGTGACATCAAAAATGCAGTTTTGAGGCAAAACCAAGAAATAGAGAAGAACTGTGGAATGTAGTCCAATCATCCTGGGCTGGAATACCTGTTCACAGGTGCCAGAAGTTGGTTGACTCCATGCAACACAGATGTACAGCAGTTCTCAGAAACAGTGCTTATACAACTAAATATTAATTAAGTGATTCAAAGGAAAGAAAAATCTTCAAACATTTTTCAGTTTATATAGGGAATGTTTGAGTTTGCAAAGAAGAATACAAACACTGCTATTTTTTTGAACAGTCTAATATTCACTTTTCTTCAATTTTTTTTTAGAGGAACAACACAAATTAGATATATTTATTTTCATGGTTTGATTTGGAATAGAATGTGTAGTGTTTCCAATGAATTTGTGTGCATGGAAATAAAAGCTATTAGAAGGATTTTGAGCTTTATTCACTTTTTTCAACACACTATTATTTTGAACACAAATGTATGTTTTCTATGTTACATTGTGAATAAAACATAGGTTTATGAGATTTGCAAATCATTGCATTCTGCTTTCATGTAGATTTTACACAGCATCCCAACTTTTTTAGAACTGGGGATGTAGTATTCTGCAATAGCTTGTGTAAGGTTTTTCGTAAAAATTTTATTTGACAGTATTTTGCACCTATATACTTAAAGTGAGGGGTACCCATAAGTCTGAAATCAAGCCAGAGATAATTACACTGATGGTCTGCTTTAGACAGCAGCACTTGCATGGGGCAGGTGTTATGGGTTAAAATTGCAACACCTGATATTTAAAAGGAGTCTGTAGCAATGAAAGAGACCAGAAATTGTTTTGAAGAAAATTTTGAGAAACCCCTACTTTAAAGTGGGTATCTTGGACCAGAATAACATTAGAAGCCTTGAATTCATTCAGGGATAGCGTTTCCTAACGGAGTTCAAGCCTTTGATATTTGAGGATATTTTTAAAGCCATGGTAGTTGGGAAAACGGCGTATGATATATATATATATATATATATATATATATATATATATATATATACACATACACACACACACACAGTATATACACATACTGTAAATATATGAAACAAAAATATACGAGTATCATGGTATGAAAAGCGTGAAGGTAAGAATGTAAATTCTAAACATTCAGCAAGAGACAAAATCCAGAAAGAACCATAACTGAATGGAAAATTATGGTCTAGGAGATACCTCATTAACCAAAACCATTAACTATACACATTGTAATAGGCTTGAGAGGAGCAATCATATTAGGGCACCACTGGGAATCCAGTGAAGAGGGCATGAGCACAACAGTACAAGGGCGGGTGCCCCAGTCTGTCCTTTAAATCCGAAACATATAAACAAGAAAAAACATAATGGACTTATTGAATGTCCATATGGGTATAGAAAAAAAAATCCATTAAAGAATAAGAATCTGTAGGCAGGATACCAAAGATCACAGAGTCAATCTGGGGTAAATATCTCACCCAGCTGGCAAAAGTAGGTCTCGGAGGAGGATTGTGTTGGGTAGATGAATGAGACATCTTGGTCTTGGACTTAAGCTGGAGTCCAAATCTTGCTTGGGAGTAGGAGCTGCACAAGGTCTAGTAAGGGGAATCGTTAAGGAGGGAGACCCAGAATCTTGATACAAACTTCTTTTTGCAAATCTTCAATACTGTGTAGTGTGCCATCTTTAGAAATTAAATCTGAAGGGGAACCCCCAGCAGAAGGGAATTCAATGTTTTTGGAGATGGGAGGTAACAGGCCTGAGTTTATGTCTCTTGGCAAGAGTAATTAGGGAGAGGTCAATGTAGGTTTTTGCTTTTGTAGTCAATAAGTGACTTATTGCAAGTGTTATTGAGCAAGGTCTCCTTACTGGTATAATAATGGAATCATTGAATGATATTCCTTGGTCTGGCTCCTGTCGGAGTTTTCGGGCTCATTTGCGATCAAGAGATCTGTAACCTTGGGTCAATCTCCAATCAATTCAGGGACCCTTCTGATAGGAAGATTGACACTTCTCTCTATTCTCAAGGTAGTCTTCCTGTATATGAAGTTGGGAGACACTTTGCTTTAAAGACATGTACTCTTTTCTTGGAAGAGAGCTTGAACATATTAAACAAGATCATCAAATGTAGATTCCAAGTGATCAGTTCGTTCCCCTAGTAAGGCCTTTTTTGCCTCTAACCTCTTGGGCAATCTTGCCCACTTCAGAAGAAATGTTGCTGGTTATTATTTGAAGTAAAAGTGTGTTGTCTGTCATTCAGGACTCAGGCTGATAGATAGTGTGCTGCAGACATGGGCTCTACATAAGAAATAGCAAAAGTGCACAAAAAAGTACCCAAGTTACTTTAACTTTAGATAAATATCACCCAATATTCCGACGTGAAGACATTTTACTATTTATATTAAGGGATACTACCATTGGCTTAGTAAAACCCCATATGCCAATTCTGAAAATTAAACCTTACCCTTTTCTGTGTGAAGACGCTTGAAAGAATCAGTTTTTGATAGACTTGGATCAGAGATTACTTTGGAACCAAGCTTAACAGTTAGGTCGACTGAACGAAAACCTTGCGGAAGCTTTCTTTCATATAAAAGTGTAAGTAGCTGTGCAAGGGTCATTTCTGGTGGTAAGGGTTGACCTATAAATAAAACAGCAAAATTCAAAGACCTGTTAGAATAGAAGGCATAGTGAGGCAAAATAAACATTTTCAAGCCCGTTTAATATTATTTGTATTACAGACAGCTCATGCTTTCAGAGCCTGTTTACACCTTTGAGCTCTAGGTACTTTATCCCACCTCATGCAAAAAAAAAATCTGGTTGCTGTAGCTTATCTCCAGTACCCAGAAAAAACATCTTTCATAGGAAAAAACTAAAATATGCAACTTGTATATTATAAGCCTTTTTTTAAATGCATACAACAGTACAAAACATTCCTTCTGCCTGGAAAGCACATACACATATGCAAAGAACATACATATAAAAAAAAGGCTTATGAAGACAAAAATATTAACTTGAAGGCACTAAAGCACAAATTCCTGTTTAGGTTTAATAGGTCTGAACTGATTATTTTACTAGAGCCAATGAAAATCTGAAAGCACAATTATGGTATTTGCGTGTATGCAGTTGTAAAATGTTTCTATTGGCATTATTACAGTGTAGCCAGGTGCTGGCTATATCATTATGCTATTCAAGGACATTTACAGATAAGACTGATTAATCCTTTTTCCCCTAGTGCCCAGTACTGGGACTGCTACAATACTTCCTGGTAGCAGAGTGGATACAGTTCTTCTGACAGGAGAGGATCCTGGAACCTGTAGTCCTATAGCCAATATATACTAAATTTCTGAGTGCTGATTGGACTACATCTACCAGAGAGTTGGGGAACCAGAAGGTTGCTGGGAGAGCAGATATATTCTACAGCAAGAACTAGCTCGGGCTGTTGGGGCAGTATTCAGAGCCGAACACGGGGGGGGCTGCTGTTTTCCGCCAGAGACAGATTGCTGGCTACTACTGCGGGACTCTGCATACCAGTTAAGCACAGTGGTGACACAGATCGCTGCACCAGGATCACATAAGCTTTTCTGCATCGTGACTTTCACTATCCAGTCTTCAGCCAGTCATCTCTGCTTGCCATGCTGACAGGCTGTCAGGTTGTAACTCTGCACTTCTTTGCAAACAGCCAAGAGCCTGTAAAAGAACCCTGTTCCTAGAAGGCCGTGCTTATCCATAGGATTGGTGAGCGGGCAGATGACCAACCTCTTTCGGACAACACTCTAGAGACACTGAATGCAGACCCCTTTATACCTCAGTTACCAGGAGACTTTTGCTTTGAGCATTGTTAACAGCAATGTTATCTTCTTGAATTATCATTATGCACTACTGTATACAGGCCCCACCACTGCTAGCAGAAAACAATGGCTGCTATCACATCAAGAACTTGAAACATCTCAGTTCTCAAGTTATTTCTAGGTAAAGGGACCTATTCACATCTAAGCCATTGTTATTCAAATTAGGGTGTCTATACCCATACATATATAATATTAGATATATTTTTTTTTCTTGCATAATTCTTTGCATTCCCTATTGTGACGCCAGTGGCCAAGATAGAGCTGATAAGTCAACAAGCCTTTTCTCCCCCTCCTGCTGCTGGTGTTTCAGTTACATAGTTACAATGTGCCATTTGTGACCATATAATCTGTTATCCATTGCTATTTGGTTATTTCCATTTTAACAGTGTTTGGCTTTTATGCGTTAAATGGGGATGTACCTCCTAAACCTTCATTCTGTTGTCTACTCTTGAACAAGCCCAATACAAAGGTGTTACTGAAGAATCATGTCTCTTGCATTACGATTTCATACTGTTAAAATATGTCTGAACCCAGAGTGTCAGGGATGTCAGGAGGCTTGCAAGGTCAAGGCAACCACTGGGGACAGGCATTATCAAGCAGCCCCTGCGGGAGTAGCGCTACAACGGTAAAGATGAAAATAAAAACTACCTGGCAACAACTTATGGTAAAGGTGGAAAACTGGAATGCTAATGGTCTTGCTTGAAGAATCCACGCCCGATGAGGTTCCACCTACTTTGTCAGCCAATATTCTTCCTCTTCTGGATGGTGGACGTGGTGGTGTAGAGGATACTGCTCGTTTTGATTGAGATTTCAAACCTTGATGTAAAATGCAAAATAAATGCATTTATCATATAAGTAAATTGAGAACAGTTTGCCATTAATAGGGTGCATTGATCCATTGGCAAATTATTTTACTTTAGCTTAAGTTTTCATGCAAAATGACTGCATATACTCAGTTGACAGAAGCTTCTATTTTTAATGTCATTGACTAAAAAGTCTTGGCAAAGACAACCACTCATTGAGAAGAGGAAAGTATTCAGGTATAGCATCAAAATGTTTGTCAAGGGTCAACACATGTTTAAAGGAATTATTTTTTCACAGCTCACACTTTCATTTTATACCATCAGCATTTTAACCTCCCTAGCGGTCTGATTATGTCAGTACTTCTGAGCTCAAAGTGGTACATTGTTTTCAATGGAAATATGTTTATTTATTGTAGGCCTGTAATTCTTAGGAATAACTCACTGAAATCTGTCCGAACAAGAGTCTACTAAACATCCCGGGTATGACAGAATTTGAAACTCAAAATCATAAATTATAATATAATAAATAATCAAAAAAAATAATATAATAAATTTAATTCAATAATATAATCAAACCAAAAACACTGAAATTTAAAATAGAGTTCTAAGTTCTCACATCACTGAGCACTGAGTCGCAAAATCGTTTTCAGTGTCTGATGACGAATTTCCCTACGAATCATTATCACTCAATTCTGCAAGTGGTTCTAATTTACTATTGCTGTTCTCTAGCTGGTCTAAAACCACTTTTGACCTAAAGGGACGCTTTTTGGAAGCCTTGGACGTTTCTCAGTTCAGGCAGAATGAACAGTACAAATGCAGGCAGGGCACTGGACAAAGCACTAGGGACAAAATGTATGTAAAATGGTTTGATACAGTAATGTAATACTATCAGATTTTAGTGTATTGAATGAATGTCAAATTTTAAAATTTTTCTGAATTTCCCGCCGGTTCCGTCCCCCGTACTTCCCGACGCTCGCAGGGAACGGAACCCGGATGCCGGCATCGGCCAGAGGACATGGCCGCGGGCGCTGCAGGGGGGACATCGTGGGACCGCAGGACAAGGTAAGTGCTCAAGGGATTCCAGAGCAACGCTGCAGTGCAATCCCGACTGTAGCTCAGGGTTACCGCTTCTGGTACTGAAAGTTAACCCCGAGCTACACTCGGGAATACCGCCAGGGGGGTTAATAGCAATGGAAACAAGTTATTTTTGACAAGCCAATTAGAAAAAAAAAAAAATCTTATGTTTTGAGTTCTGCCTGTTTGCTGGTCATTTGTTTCCACAACTTATAGTATTCCCCACATGCTTTGCAACTTCTCCTCTGCTGTTTACTTTTAAGGACTACACATCTCATGATAACTTGCTGCCTGAAAGCAGTGAATCCTGAAACTGAAAATGTGTGCGATTCTTCAAAAAAGTTAGCTTACGAATGTCAAGATCAGTCAAATTAATAGGAGCAGACTAGAAATAATTGAAACACAAGGTTGAAATGAATATATGATTTAAAATTTTCACCACAGATTCTCTATCATAGACAACATAATTCGAAAAAAAACAAAGCTAAACTGTTTCCTCACCTTTTCTGTAAACGTTATGGTGGAATTTGTTTTGTTATTTGCTACATCATTCACATGGGCAAAATGGTGTTTCAGAAAGGGAATACAAGGCTGTATAATTTTCACATAACAGAATATCCAATTAAACCCATAGATGGAGACTTCAATTGAGCACATATGCTATAGATGTACAGATGCAGGTGGCTACTGAAATCACATTAAACTATAACTAAAGGCAAACTTTTTTTTAGTTTGTTAGAGCAGAAATTAATTAGAACACCCGTTAGGCTTTTATTGCTGTCTTTGCCCCAATTAGGGAGATTCACACCCCCTGTTTGTCCTGTTTACCATTACTTGTTGAAAGTGAAAGTAAAAATCACAAGTTTTAGTCTCCAGAAAAGTAATAGAGGGGAAAACCTGAACGGGATTCAAAAGGTGGACGGTCTACCAGAAAAAACTTTATATCTTAATTGTCTTTATAGATTTGGGTGTTGTTCGTACTATCCTGGCATTTTAGGGCCTCCAAAACGGTGACAGGTAGTAAGAAAAATCAAATGCGCAAGTTACAATCTTTGAAAGCCCGGTGGTACGCTTGGTAGAAGTAGCAGAATATGTTTTGGGGTATAATTCCACATACACCCATGGCATGTGTAAAAAAAAAAAATGTAATTTTCCTGCACATCGATTGATGTGGATGAAAAATCTCTGACAGCAAAAAGTGAATGTATATGCCGAAGCATAGGAACTACTGCCCGCTGATCACTCCTAATGCTGGGCGCTCGCTTTTTTTTTTTTTTTTTTTTTGTTAAACTGCAGATGGAGAAATCCCTCCCTGCAGCACTGCAGGCACTGATGTATTCTGAGAGCAGTACCCTGCTGTTGTCAGAATACACAGATCAGTGCTGCAGCTGATTGGCATTCCTGCAAAGCAAACAACAGTTAACCACATAGTGGCAATATAGCATTAACAATAAAAAATTTGATTTTTTTTTTATATATACTTACCTGTAAAATGCATTTCTTGGAGTACAGCACGGGACACAGAGCAGGCCATAATAATGACTATGTGGGTTATATGCCACCTATAGGTCACTGGACACTGGCTGACCAATCAAACAGGAAGCCCTCACCCATATAATCCCTCCTACACAAGAAGTTTTTGTAGCAAACAATGAAAATCCAGAAAGAGTAGAGGCAACTCTGTGTCCAGTGATGTACTCCGAGAAATGGATTTTATAGGTAAGTATGTAGAAAAAAAAAAATCAAATTTTCTTTAATGTACATGCCAGGACACACAGCAGACCATAAAAATGATTGTGCTTTCTCCCAAAAGGGTGGAACCTTGCTCTTCAAACCATAGGCTAGAATGATTGACAAATCCACTTAGAAATAACCTATTTGGATGCTGCCTGTCCTCTCCTAGGACCTTTCGCAAAATATACAAGGAATCAGCCTTTCTAATCTGTGCTGTCACTCAAAAAAATACCCTTTTTTTGCCCGAACATCCAGGGCATGCCAAGATCTCGCCAATTGAGGCCTAGGAAAGAATGAAGGCAGAACATGTCCTGATTGAGATGAAAACTAGAAACCACCTTTGGCAAAAAGGATGGATGAGGCCGTAACACCACCTTATCCTGATGTAAAACCAAAAAATAGTTCCCTACAAGAAAGAGCTGCCAACTTCGATGTCCTTGCAGAGGTGATTGCCACCAAAAACAGAACCTTTCGAGTTAGCAGAAACTAACAAAATCTCCCTGATAGGTTCAAATGGTGGTTTCTGTAAAAATATCAAGACCAAGTACTTATCACTCCCTGTAGAAAAGTAAAAACCAAAGAGTGAGAAGCAATCGACTTTGGGGGGAAAAAAAAACAAAAAAAAAAACAGCCAAGGCTGAAACCTGACCATTAATACTACCAACATCAAATTTATTTCTACTCCTAACTGGAGAACAGACACAATTCTCCCAATCAAATATGTCCAGGGGTGCCAATTTCGACCCTCACACCAATATATGCGCTTCCAAGTTCTATAATAAATGCTTCTAGAAAACAGCTTCCTAGCGTTCAACATTGTGTGGATAACTGAGTCTAACACTCAGTTATCTTTCAAGATTTGGGTCTCAGCCATGCCATTAAATTCAGCAAACGTAAAGCTGGATGAAATAGGAGTCCCTGAGACAGCAGGTTTGTCTGCTCTGGCAGAATCCATGGATCGCCCAATGCTAGCCTGACAATGTCCGCATACCAACACCTCCTGGACCAGGCTGGTGCTATTAATATCACCAAAATCAACTTGTCTTGAATTCTGCGTAATAGCCGCGGGAGTAGCTGAATCGGGGGGGGGAAAGCATATATTAGCGAAAACTGATCCCATGGTATCACCAAGGCATCTACCCCTATCGCAAGAGGGTTCCACGTCCTGGACACGAATCTGTTCACCTTGCTGTTGAACCTGGACGCCAATAGATCTACGTCCGGGTACCCCCAACACTGACAGATTGCTGAGAACACATTGGGATGCAGAGCCCATTCCCCCGCAAACAACCGCCGACGACTGAGGTAGTCCACCTGCCAATTCTCTATTGCTGGAATGAATACTGCTAAAAGAACAACTAGAACATGCCCTTCTACCCAAGCCAGAATGTGATCCACCCCCTCCTGAGCCCTCTGGATCTTGGAACTGCCTTGGTGGTTGATGTATTCCACTGCCGTAGCATTGGCTGACTGGCCAACCATGAAGCCTAGTCGTCCAATATTTCAGGGCAAGATGCACCACCCGAAGCTCCAGAATATTGATGGGAAGAATCTTTTCCTGTGGTAACCACGTTCCCTGGTCTGTGTTCCCTTCTAGAACGGAACCCACCCAATGCGAGAGGCTCGCATCAGTTGTTACCAGTTTCATAATCACTGGTTAGAAAGATCTTTCCTTTTCCAAATTCTGCGCTTCCAACCACCAATTCAAGCTTCACAGCACCCAGAGGGACAAAGACGTGGTAATCCAGTGATGGAATCTTTTTGTTCCATGTCAACAGAATACTCCTCTGCAAAGGCCTTGTGTGGACCTGCACATAGGGCACTGCCTCAAATGAGGATACCATCTTCCATATTAACCTCATGTAGAGATGAAGAATACTTCCTGATCCTCAAACTCTGAACCCGATCTCTCAGGGCACAGCCCTTTCCTGGAGGCAGAACACCTTGGCCTGGACAGTGTCTAGGACCAACCCCAAATACTCCATTCTGTACAGGCTCCAGGGCCGACTTCTCGAAGTTGAGCACCCAGCCCAAGAGTAAGAATCGCAAAGGTCACATTTTTTTCTCAGGCTTGGACCAGACTGATCCCTGAGCAGTAGATCATCCAGTGAGCCCAAAATCGATATTCCCCGACCAGCACCAGAACTGGAGCCAGAATCTTTGTAAACAGTCGAGGAGCAATGGCTGGCTTAAAAAGTAGTGTCA